AACTGGAAGGTAACTAAAGCACCCCATATATCTGGAAATTACAAGAGAATTCTAAATGGCATATGGGTTGGAGAAAAAAAATAATGGCATTAACCGAATGATAATGAAACTACCGATTTCCTTAGACATCGTTCTCTAACCACAATCTGTAGAGTCAGAACTTAATAACTGGAAGGTAACTAAAGCACCCCATATATCTGGAAATTACAAGAGAATTCTAAATGGCATATGGGTTGGAGAAAAAAAATAATGGCATTAACCGAATGATAATGAAACTACCGATTTCCTTTTTTTGGGGGCAGCTGGCCAGTAAGGGGATCCGAACCCTTGACGTCGGTGTTATAAGGCTGCGCACTAACCAACTGACCTAACCAGCCAGCTGAAAACAGAGAGCTTACAGGTGCAGCTAGGGATATACTCTGAGGGGATTTTTTGGGGGCAGCTGGCCAGTAAGGGGATCCGAACCCTTGACGTCGGTGTTATAAGGCTGTGCACTAACCAACTGACCTAACCAGCCAGCTGAAAACAGAGAGCTTACAGGTGCAGCTAGGGATATACTCTGAGGGGAATTTTCAGCCTCAAATGCCTGCATCTGAGAAGAAGATAGACTTAGAGTTGATGAACTAAACATCTAACCTAAGAAGTTAGAAAAAGAAAAACAATAATTTGACAGGACTAAAGAGAAGGAAATAAAGATTAGAACAGAAACGAATGAAACAGAAGCAGTGGAGAGGCGCAGCGAAGGTGGAAATCGATCCTTTGGAAAGCTTAAAATAAGATTCCTGGGAGGACTGAACGAGGCCAAGAGGGGAGACACTAAACAACATCATTACAGATGTCGTAGGTGTTAAAAAGAATCGTATTATGTCTAACTCTGTGGTAATAAATGCCCCCGTACCGGACCAGGACCGGCAACGGGATCGCAACCCTCGGTGTTGCCTCCGCGCCTCGCTCAGCCAGTGAGCGGGAACCGGTCTGTATGTGGGATCCGAACCCTCGGCGGGAGCGCTGCCGCGCTTCCCAAGCGGCGCACTAGCGCAGTGCGCCACCGGGCCGGCCCCTTAAATGGAAATTTTTACCGTACATGATTTTTCACTTTAGGTTTAATGCTTAGCATTTAGAAACTCTAACATAAGGTGCGACTCTGTGCTTTGGTCTTTACAGCTTTTGTTAATGGCATTGGGCCTCGGGTTGGAATTTTTGGGTTCCCATAGTGAACCCAGACTTCAGGTGTTCCAGCAGGCCCTGATGGAAATGCGGCCTTTGGAAGAATCAGCCTGGCCTCTTCTGCCCCGGCTCCTGAACGTTTGTGCAGGTTCTGGGCAAGCGGGATGGGGCAGAGCGAACAATTGTGCAAACTTCTTCCTGCCTACTTTGGGGCCCTTCTGGAAAGTTCCAGAAGTGGCATCAGGAAGCACCCAACCAGCTCGTGAGTCACATTGTGGTGTCAGAGCTTTATGTCAGCCTGGCCTGAGCCTTGTCCCCTTCCCCTGCCCACGTCCTGCCCTGCTTGTGCCCAGTCTGTTCCTCTTCCAGGTGACCTGTGACCAAGCAAGTTGGGTGGCTTCTCTCTGCCTCATTCTCCTGGTGTGTGAGGGGCCTGGACAGGCCCAGTGACTGGTGGTAGTAGGGGTGCTGTCCCTGCAGCATCTAGCAGGAGTGGTGGGGACTGCCCTTTCTGATCGGCCCTGCCTTCTCACTCAGCTCTGTCCCCCAGGACTCCCCACCTCTATCTCTTCCTTCCTGCCTGGTCTCTATCCCTGTGGGGCTGGGACTCTCTCCTTCCCCTCCTCTGAAGTCAGCCTTGCGTCCCTTGACATTGTTGGGGGGAGCCTCTGCTACTTGGCTGCGTTAGCTGTCACATGCAGCTGTGTGACGTTCCTTTGTATGAGTGAGCCACATGGCTTCTGTGCGTGTTTTCCCTCTGGCCAATGTTCGGATCGTTCACGGTGTTTTGCTTGCAAATAATGCTGCCGTGACCATACCATGAACATCCATGTGTGTCCCTCGGACATACACGTGAGGGCGTCTCTAGCTCAGGGGTCTCACTCAGAGTGATTTTGTCCCCAGGGGACATTGGACAATGTCCGGGGCCATTTGTGGTTGTTACAACTTGGGGGGTTGCTCCTGGCATGAAGTGGGTGTAGGCCAGAGACGCTGCTCAGCACCTGCAGTGCCCAGGACGGCCCCTCCACAGAGAGTGACCTGGCTCCAAATGTCAGCTTTGGCAAGAGGGTCTGTGCCTTACCGTGGACGTGCTGGGCCCAGGATGCTGGGGTCCTGCTCCTCCTTTCCGAGTGCCACTCGGCTGCCCCCTGCTGCTTTCCCTGTCAAGTTATACCGACGACAGTTGACTTCTTTCTCTCCCCCGCCACTTTTATTTTATTTTAATAAACTTTATTTTTTAGAGCAGTTCTAGATTCACAGCAAAACTGAACAGAATGTACAGGGAGTTTCCATATATGCCCTGTCCTACCTCCCCCATGAGCACCCAGAGCCTCCCCTACAGAGTGGCACATTTGTTACAAACATTGATACCCCTCTCCCCCCAGGAAACATCATTACCACCTAGAGTCCCCCGTCTACACTGGGGTTCACTGCTGGTGCTGTGCATCCCGTGGGCTTAGACAGATGTACGATGACACTGATCCACCGTTACAGGGTGGTGCAGGTGCTACACGTCACTGTCCTGAAAATCCCCTGTTCCTCCCTCCTGCCCCCCAGCTCCTGGCCACCACGGATCTTTTTATTCTCTCCAGAATTCTGCCTTTTCCAGGATGTCATATAATTGGTATCCTACGGGTGTAGCCTTTTCAGATTGCTTCTTTCCTCTTTTTCTTTTTTTTTTTATGTACCAGCTTTGTTGAGATATAGGTCATATACCATACAGTACACCCATTTAAAGTGTACAACTTAGTGGTCTTAGGTGTATTCACAGAGTTGTTTAACTGTCACATTAAAATTGACTGCAGATCAATTTCAGAACATTTTCATCACCTCAAAAAGAAACTCTGCACCCTCCACTATCACCCCCTTATCCCCCCTTCCCAGCCCGCAGCACCCACGAGTCCACTTTCTGTCTCTGTGGATTGGTCTGTTCTGGACATTTCATGTAAATGGAGTCACACACCGTGTGGCCTTTTGTGTCTGGCGTCTGTCACTGAGCGTGATGTGTTCAGGGTCCATCCACATGGTAGCGTGTGTCAGAGCCTCGCTCCTTTTCATGGCTGAGTGACGTTCTCGTGTGTGGATGGACCACGTTGTGTTTATCCATTCACCAGCTGGGCTGTTTCTGTCCTCTGGCTGTTGTGAACAATGCCCTGTGAACATGCGTGTTCTTATCTGTGTCACTTCTATCTGCTGTTGGAGCTGTTCCCACATTAGAGGGCTGGTGCCCTGTGGCTCCTGGGCAGTGCTGGGCACGTGGAAGGTGCTCTTGACTGCTAGGTGAACACCGGGCCCTCCATGCCCAGGGTGGGTTTCAGAGAGACCCACAGTTGTAAATAAATGTGGATGTGCTGAAATGCAGTTTTCTGCAGAAGAGGGGTCACCCTTCATCATGTTCAGGTTTGTGATGAACAGAGTAAAAGCCCTGCTTTTACTTGGACCCTGGGACTTGGCCTCCACCTTGACCCCAGGTGCCGTTTGCATGTTAATAGAGATGTGACTTTTGAATCACCAGTGTGAGGGGAGAGTTGGGAAAGGGAAAGCTGCTGTCGTGCGTATCTATTTCCTGCTGTCTTCTCCCTTTTCCTTAGGGCACTGGTTCTAAACCAGGGCAGTTCTGCTCCCAGGGGACACTGGGCGATGTCTAGGGACATCTATGGTTGTCACGATGGGGGGGGGTGCTCCTGGCATGGAGTGGGTGGAGGCCAGGGATGCTGCTCAGCACCTTCAGTGCCCAGGACAGTCCCACCACAGTGATCCAGCCCCAGTGTCCACAGTGTCAAGGGGGAGGAACTTGCCCTAGGGGTATCTGGTAAACCATGCAGGAAAGGGGACCGTGTTGGGTGTTGGACTGCTGTGGGACAGTTTCTAATAAAAGAAAACTCCTTGGCCTCTTGTGCCATCAGGAGGCAGCTCAGATGACAAGCTCCCTAGGGCATATCTGCTGAGTCAGACATCCGGAGTGCATAGTGTTGAACGGTGCTAGCTGACAGGCTCCAGTGGACGAGTGATTGGTTTTGGGAGGGAATTAGGATGAAGAAATTAGCAGAGGGGGTGGAGTTAATGGGCCAGCAAGTGACCCTGGATGGAAGGTTTTTTTTTTTTTTTTTTTTGGCCTTGGTATTATCAGCACATGCTCTAACCAACTGAGCTAACTGGCTGGCCCTTATGGGTAGATAATATTGGAGCTGAAGCTTTAGAAAGGAGGCTGATGAATGTTGGGGGGGGTGTCTGCCTCTGTCCACATCCAGACAGGGGCTCTCCACCTCGGCACTGTGGACTTTTGGGCCACATCATTCATTCTCTGGTGAGCTGTCCTGGGCACTGCAGGTGCTGAGCAGCGTCCCTAGCCTCCACCCACTCCATGCCAGGAGCACCCCCTCCCTAGTTGTGACACCCACAAATGTCCCCGGACATTGCCAGTGTCCTCTGGGGGCAGAACCACCTTTGACTGAGAAGCAGTGATAGCGGGAATGTGTGTTTACTGTAAAACAAGTTGCTATAAACATCAAGTATTAGGAAAAGCTCCCGGAGCCCCACGCCTGTCCACAGAACACGGGAATCATGCTGAGTGTCCACGTGTCTGCTTCCTCTAACAGTCCTTGTTAGAGGGGGATGGGGAACCCAAAGGAAGGGCTGGCGCTGCTGCTGGTGGGCAGGACACACTCCAGAAGCAGCTGGGTTTTATGGTCCCGGAGTCTGATCTAGATGGTGCCCTCCATGAGGTCGAGATACGGGTGTTTTGGTCACAGCCGTGTTTCCCTCGGCTTTGCCAGGGCCAGCTTGTCACCCAGCAGATGGATGACTGAGCTTTGTCTTGGGTGTCCCCGCAGATGGAGGACGGCCACACGCTCTTCGATTATGATGTCCGCCTGAATGACACCATTCAGCTCCTGGTCCGCCAGAGCCTCGCACTCCCCGCCAGCCTCAAGGAGAGGGACTCGGAGCTTTCGGACACAGATTCCGGCTGTTGCTTGGGCCAGAGTGAGTCGGACAAGTCTTCCACCCACGGTGAGGCAGCTGCTGAGACAGACAGCAAGGCAGGCGAGGATACATGGGATGCGACGGAGCTGGGCCTGTATAAGGTGAGGCTCCTGCAGCCACGGGGGGTGCTCCACGTCCCCTCACCATTGCCAGCCCCCATTTACCTAGCCGGGGGCTCAAGGAGGGCCACCTCTGGCTGGGCAGCCTCAGTCCTGTGGTGGGAATTGCCAGCAGCTGTTTCCTGCATGCTCCTTGCAGGGGACACATGGTCTCCACAGTTCCTTTGTGACCCTCGAAAGTGGAGTCCTGTGTTGGGGGCCTGAGGAGTCTTCTCTGTGGCCTTTGCAGTGGCTATGACATTCCTGAATTCACTGCCACCATCTAAGATCAGGAAATTTTACAGAAAGATCTGGATTCCCAGCTCCTCTGGACAAACGGGCAGTTCTGGCCTCCCTGGGCTGCCCTGGGAGCTGTGGCTGGAGCTGAGCAACAGGAGCCTTCCTAAGATGACCGGTGTCCCCTCTGCTTCCCATTGTCCTTGTCTCACCTGCTTTGCTCCTTATGGTTTCTCATAGGCAGTGGGTATTATCTGGGTGATTCTGCCCCCGAGAGGACACTGAGTAGTGTCCAGGGACATGTATAGTTGTCACAGCTAGGGAGGGGGTGCTCCTGGCATGGGGTGGGTGGAGGTCAGGGATGGCCCCAGTGTCCACAGTGCCCTGCTGAGAAGCCCTGTTCCAGGCACATGAGTCTGCAGTCCAGTACTCCTAGAACTAAAATTGGCTCTTGTGCGTTTTGCTGCTGACAATCCTTGTCTGGGTCGGGACGTGAGTGTTTCCTTGTCCCTTATAGATCAACGAGTATGTGGATGCTCGGGACACGAACATGGGGGCGTGGTTCGAAGCGCAGGTGGTCAGGGTGACAAAGAAGGGACCGTCCCAGGATGAGCCCTGCAGCTCCACTGCCAGCCCAGCTCTGGAAGAAGACGTCATTTATCACGTGAAATATGACGAGTGAGTGTCACGGCGGGCGGCCTGGGCCACTCAGGCTCTTTGAAGAGGGTCTTTGGCTGCAGGTATGCAGGCTGGAACTTGGTACTGTCTTGGGGATGATCAGGATTTGGGGGGCCCCACCATCTAGCTTTCAGACAACACATGAGGCCACTCGTTAGGGCACCCATGCAGGAGCCCAAAGCAAAGCTGCCCCTTCCCAGGTCTCCTTGGAGAGCTCTGCCCTGCCCAGCCAGTCAGAACTGTCCCGACCCCAGTTTTCTCCTTTTATTTTATTCGTATCACTTATGACTACACAGAGCCTTCTCCTGTGTGTGTCTGTCTTTCCCCGCATCTGTGTAGTGGAAAGCTCCATTTTCTGTACAAGTATTTATTGACCAGGTACTGTGCTAGGCACAGGGGATACATGGCAGTGAACACAGATGGTGTCTTGGTTGGCTTGGGCTGCCCTAACAAGATACTGTAGACCACAAGGCTTAAACAACAGACATGTTTTCTCGCAGTTCTGGAGGAAGTCCAAGATCAAGGAGCCGTAGGGGTTGACTCCTGGTGAGGGCTCTCTTCCTGGTGTGCAGACGGTTGCCTTCTCACCAGGTCCTCACATGGCCTTTTTTCTGTGCTCGCACAGAGGAAGACAGCTCTGGTTCTCCTTCTCTTGTAGGGACACCAGTCCTATCAGATTAGGCCCCACCTGTATGACCTCGGCTAACCTTAAAAACCTCCCTACAGGCCCTATCTCCAATACAGACATGTTGGGGGACAGGGCTTCAACACAGGAACTTTGTGGGGGGACACAATTCAGTGCATAACAAAGGGCAAACATTCCTGTCTGCACAGAGCCCACATTCTTGGGGGTAAAGGACTTCATCTGGTATCTTTCTGGGTCTTCCCTGCTGGGAACAGTTTCTGACACATTCTAAGCTTAGCTCTGTAACAGACATGTTGGGGGACAGGGCTTCAACACAGGAACTTTGTGGGGGGACACAATTCAGTGCGTAACAAAGGGCAAACATTCCTGTCTGCACAGAGCCCACATTCTTGGGGGTAAAGGACTTCATCTGGTATCTTTCTGGGTTTTCCCTGCTGGGAACAGTTTCTGACACATTCTAAGCTTAGCTCTGTAAAAAAAAAACTATTGGAGAAATCGGATTCAGTGAATCACAGTAGGCACAAGATTCACATCCACTTGGTTGGGGGTTGCAAACTACTGCCCTAGAGCCAAATCTGGCCCACCACCTGTTTTTGTAAATAAAGCTTTATCAAAATGTATCAACACCCATTGGTTTATGTGCCATCTATGGCGGCTTTCTTGCTGTGGTGGCAGAGTTGAACAGTGACAACAGAGACCTTCAGATAGTGGAAAATGTTTACCATCTGGACCTTTGTAGGAAAGGTTTGCGACCCCTGTTCTTGGTGGTTTATTAGAGAAAATAATGAACCCAGGCGATACAGCTATCAGAATAGATTTGGGGTTGGTCCCCCACAGTTGAGGTTTAACTCTGCTGCTGACAGAATATGTTTCTTTTAGTTCTACTATTTCGTGCTTTTTTTGTGGCTGTTGGAATATTCCTAGGAAGCTAGAATAATGACTTACTATCATATCTAATACCCAGTATATTGTATTTATATAAACAAAATAAGGTACGTTCCTCTACAAAAATCACTTTTAATCCGTGCATATTGAAAAAGTTAAATTTCTTCCCTTTCCACATTTCCTTCTGTATTAGTTTCCTCGGGCCACCATAATAAAGTATCTTAGCTGGGTGGCTTACAATAACAGAAATTTATTCTCACGGTTCCAGAGGCTAGAAGTCCAAGATCAAGGTGTCAGCAGGGCTGACCTTGTCTGACAGGTCTAGGGAAGCATCTTTCTTTGCCTCTTCCAGCTTCCAGTGGTGACCAGCGGTCCTTGGTATTCCTGGCACTGGAGCTGTCTGTCCCTCCGATCTCTGCCTCTGTCTTCGTGTGACGTTTCCTCTCCTCTGTCTGTCTCTTCTTCTCTTATTATAAAGATACCAGTTGTATTGGATTAGGGCCCCCCTACTCCAGTGTGACCTCATCTTAACATGATTACATCTGTAAAGACCCTATTTCCAAAAAATGTCACATTCACAGGCACCAGGGATTAGGACTTAAGCATTTCTTTTTTTCTGGGGGGAGGGGATATGCTCCAACCCATAACACCTTCTGTGATTGGAATGTGTCTTACATACCTGCATATTTTCAATGTCAGCACAGAGGATTGTCAGGGAGGGAACTGTATACTGTCATGTGTGGTCTTTCTGCTGTGGCTTCTGTTTCTGGTTGATAGAACGAGGTCTGATACTATCACGAGACCTAAGGGTGGGGCTTTCCTCCCAGCTACCCGGAGAACGGGGTGGTCCAGATGAGCTCCAGGGATGTCCGAGCTCGTGCCCGCACCATCATCAAGTGGCAGGAGCTGGAGGTGGGCCAGGTGGTCATGCTCAACTACAACCCCGACAACCCCAAGGAGCGGGGCTTCTGGTATGACGCGGAGATCTCAAGGAAGCGGGAGACCAGGACGGTGCGTGAGCTGTACGCCAACGTCATGCTTGGGTGAGTGTCACGTTGTGGGGTGGGCTGTGGGGTCCCCTCTCCTGGGGTCTCTGGACTGGCTCTGAAGCAGTCTAGCCAGTACCCTACGTGCAAGGCCCTCAGCCTCCTGCCTGGCCTCCCTGCCTCCCATCTGGGGCTCCACCGCCCACTTCCTGCTCACTGCTAGTGATCTTTCTGAGGCTATTCTCTGTTCTGGGCATTCAGTTCCCTTTTCTGGAGACATCACTGTTACCAGGACTCTGCAGGAATTTTCTGTTCATAAACACACGTAAATATGAGCAAAACACATGTCCACATCTGGATGTGTTCTACATTCAAGGTCAGCAAACTGTAGTCCATGGACCAAGTCCGGCCCTTTGCCCGTTTCCACAAAGTTTTTTTGGGACTCAGCCACGCCTGTTTGTTTACTTATTATCTGTGGCTGCTTTTTTGGTAGAAGGGCAGAGACGAGTAGTTGTGACACAGATGACGTGACCTGCAAAGCTGAAAATATTTGCTATGTAGCCCTTGGCAGAGAAAGTTAACAGAGCCCTTTTCTGAGTTGCCTTTTTTTTCTGTGCTAAAATATGTCATTTTAAAAAATGACAAAAATGAAAATTTGCCATTTTAATCATTTTAAAGGGTAAAATTCAGTGCCATCGAATACATTCACTCAGGTACAGCAAAGGGCCAGATAGTCAGTGTTTTGGCTTTGTAGGCTGATGTCCTCTGTGTTGATACTAGCCAGCTCCTCTGTTCTGGTGTAAAAGGAGCTACAGAGAATAACAGGAATGAATGAGCGTGCTGTGTACCAATAATTAAGACTTTATTTGTAAAAACAGGCAGCTCTGTTTACCCTGTTCTAAATATTCTAAATACATCGTCAGCACCCTGATGAACTGCTTTTAGCTGCATTGTTTACCATTCATAAAGACTTTGGGGGCCGGCCCGGTGGCGCACTGCTACAGTGCGCCACTTGGGAGTGTGGCGGCGCTCCCGCCGAGGGTTCAGATCCCACATACAGAACGGCCACTAGCTGGCTGGGTGAGGTGTGGGCGCGGCACCGAGGGTTGCGATCCCGTTGCTGGTCCCGGTCCGGTGCGGGCGCGACACTGAGGGTTGCGATCCATTGCCGGTCACAAAAAAAGACAAAAAGGGGGAAAAAAAAAAAAAGACTTTGGTTTGTTTTTGCTGTTAAGTTTTTGTTTTTTTTGTGGCGGCTGGCCAGTTCAGGGATTGAATCCTGGACCTTAGTATTATCAGCACCGTGCTCTAAGCAGCTGAGCTAACTGGCCAGCTCCCCCAAAAGATTTATCAATATGAGAATGTGTATATTTATATAAGTGTACACACACACACACAATATAAACAGATAAAAGTCTTTTTGAACCACGGCATGACCATAAGAAATCCACTCCATAGAGGGCGCCACTGAGTAGGGGACCTGGAAGTGGCGCAGAGTGATTTGTGGCAATCTTGTTAACGTGCCCTTCTCCATCATTGAAAACAATTTTTCTCTATTCCCTTTTGATGCCAAGAAACAACACAAGGTTGATGAAAATATTCTGAAATTGATTGTGGTGATGGTTGCGCAATCCTGTAAATATACTGGAGACCAGTGAATTATACACTTTACCTGGGTGAATTGTTTGGTATGTAAATTGTCTCTTAATAAGCTGGGGGTTTTTTGTTTGTTTGTTTTGTTTGTTTGTTTTTAAATCACAAAACAGAAAAGTTCCCAAGCCTCAGTTGGGATCTTGCTTCCCACCTTTTGGCCCCAAAACTAACCCAGGGTGGCTGGTCCTTCGTCCTCTTGTTTCATTCTCTGGAGTTGCCTTCCCTGTGTGGTTAGTAACAGGATTTTGAAAACAGTCTGTGCTCGGTGATCATAACAGCCCAGCGATGGCTCAGCTGCTTCCAGAAGACTGACGCTGAGTATTTCTGAATATTACTTCTCAGACCCACTTGCTTTTTTTCAACCTCATTCATGGCAGGGGCAATACAGCCTGCTCTGCTGAGACCCAGACCTCTGAAGGGATAGCCATTGATATTCTAAAGGCTCAGCTGCAAGTCAGAAGGCAAAGGTTCCTTTTGCACTCGGGCCACTTGCTCCACGGCTTTGGGGAAATCACTGTCCTTCTTTGGGCCTCTGATTCCCCAATTGTACAATCAGAGGCTGGCTAGGATCCAGGACCCTAAATGCAGATGCTCCCTGGGGTTGGGTGGGGACAGGTGATGGCAAGTGTGCCCCATTCAGTGGGGCAGCTGCCTTTGGTTCTGGCTTATTGGTGTCAGAGGGGCAGCTGCCTCTGGTTCTGGCTTATTGGTGCCAGAGGAGTCTTGGCTTGGAGTTACTGAGCTTTTGATTTTCTGAGAAACAAACTATTTGGATTGTTTTTTTTTTTTTTTGTCCTTTTTGAGACCAGCCGCACCGCGCTCAGCCAGTGAGCGCTGTGAGCGCACCGGTCATCCCTATATAGGATCCAAACCCGCGGCGGGAGTGCTGCTGTGCTCCCAGCGCCGCACTCTCCTGAGTGTGCCACAGGCTCGGCCCTATTTGGATTGTTATATGAAATCTGATTTCTTTTTTTTTTTGACGGCTGCCAGGTATGGTAATCCGAACCCTTGACCTTGGTGTTAACCAGCACCGTGCTCTCCTAAGTAAGCTAACTGGCCAGCCCTGAGATCTGACTTTTAAATGTTGGCAACTAATTAAAAAAGAAAACACAGGGAGCCAAATAGTATCTGCTGTGGTTTGGCAATAGGCTACCCCTACCATTTCTTTCTTTTTTTTTTTTTTTATTAAAGATGACCGGTAAGGGGATCTTAACCCTTGACTTGGTGTTGTCAGCACCACGCTCAGCCAGTGAGCGAACCGGCCATCCCTATATAGGGATCCAAACCCATGGCCTTGGTGTTATCAGCACCGCACTCTCCCGAGTGAGCCACGGGCTGGCCCCCATACCCCTACCATTTCAAAGATCCATCTTAGAGGATCTCAGGTCCTTTCCAACCACCTCTCAGGTGCTTTCCAACTTAGAAATTTCTAGCATGTGGCAATGGTTTTGGAAGGGAGGAGTGTGGTGGCCAGAGGCTGCTCGCTTCTGTCATTGTTCTTGACAGTGTTATCAGGAGAGGAGAGTGAAGGCTTTAAGTCTGGCAAGCGTGGGTTTAGAAGCCACTTCCCAGCTGTTGACTGTGGCCAGGTCACATGTCAAGCTCCGTTGTTTCCTCTGTTAAATGGGGACAAAATGAGATGATCCATGCAAGCACTTAGCATAGGGCCTGGCACGTGGTCACCTTGTGATAAGCCTTAGCTGTCATATTAGTTAGCAATTGCTGCCTAACAAGTATTATACATGTAGTGGCTTAAGACCACATACACTTATCTCACAGTTTCTGTGGATCAGGAGTCTGGGCACTGCAAAGCTGGAGCCTCTGCTCAGGCTCTCTCAAAGATGCAGTCCAGGTGTTGCTCAGGGCTGTGGTCTCATCCAAGGCTCGGCTGGGAAAGATCCCCTTCCAAGCTTGCGTGATTGTTGGCATACTCCAGTTCTTTGTGGTTGAAAGACTGAGGGCTTCTTTTTTTTTTTTAACTCAGCTGCTAAAGGCTACCCACAGTTCCTAGGGGCACCCCGCCATTCCTAGGGGCCACCTGCAGTTCTCGCCCTGTTGGCTCCTCCAATATAGCCACTCATGTTCTAAAGCCAGCAAGGGAGGCCTTTAGCTAGTAGTCTAGGAGTACAGAGTGTTGTACAATGTATCATCAGCATGGGAGTGGAAGTCCATCAGCTTTGCCGGATTTAACTGGTTAGATGTAAATCACAGGTGCCACCCCTGTTCATGGGGGTCATGGGCCACCTTAGACTCTGTCTACCCCAGGGATATTGTAGGCGCTGTCCATTCCCTCGGAGGACAGATGGCCTTCACAGCCAGGCCCTGAGCATGGCTACTGCAGGGGATGAGACAGGCCATGGATCCTGGTCTCCAGCCCGAGTCGTTGTAGAGAGAGGGAAGAGCAGCTGCCTTATAATGGTGTAGTTACGGGCCGGCCCGGTGGCGCACTGCTACAGTGCGCCGCTTGAGAGCACAGCGGTGCTCCCGCTGAGGGTTCAGATCCCATGTGGAGACCAGTTCCCGCTCACTGGCTGAGCGAGGTGCGGACACAACACCAAGGGTTGCGATCCCGTTGCCGGTCCCGGTCCGGGCGCGACACTGAGGGTTGAGATCCGTTGCAGGTCACGAAAAAAGACAAAAAGGAAAAAAAAACAATAATAATAATGGTGTAGTTACCATTTTGCATGGTTAATAACCTCGTGTGGTTCAGACTTCTCAAGGAATTAAAGGGGATTCGGTGAGAAGCAACTGTCTTTTCTCCACCTGCTTTCCGTCCGTCGATTCCCCTCCTCAGCCAAAGACACCTTTCCTAGTGCACATGGACTGTCACCAGGAAAGGGTGACAAGAGCCCACACCCAGGGGCTTTCAGAAGTCTTCCTTCTGTTCATTCACGTGTGTGTCCTGGGGGGCGCAGGAAAGCATGATGGGAAAGGTATGGGCACTGGAGACAGTGGGTGACCCCAAGGCAGACCCCCCCACCTCTTGCCAGCCTTTCTTGTAATATAAGACCTCACAGAAGGTTGTAGGGACATAGAAAGTTGGTAACGCTGAGCAGAGTCACAGTGCACAGGGAGTTTACAACATGCGGGTCCTTGGCACAATCCACTTTTATTATTAGCTGTGTTGGGCATCATACAAGATGCAGTGAACAAAGAGAGACTCAGCCATGGTCCCTCTCCTGGGGCAGCACCGAGCCTGGTGAGGGAGACCGATCAGCAGATAACAGACAAGTTCCATCCCCATGGGGATCCCTGCTGTTACCTTTTTATAGCCACACCCACCTTCCCATCCCCCCACCTGGTCCCTGACCTGAAGCAAGCCTTAATTTATTCTCTGTCTATATAATTTTATAATTTCAGTGTTAGTAAATGGAATCACGTAGTATGTAACCTTTTGGGATTGA